TGAGAGGATGTTTGTTATTACTGGACTCCACTATCACAAGTAGTTCAATTAGACAACAAATTAACAAAGAAATATCAAAGTTGAATCACAATTGTGAAGAAAGGGACTAACTAGATATCTACAAATGGTTCTATTCAGGGAAATTCATGATGAGATATTACTACATGCCTATAAAAAGAGCTAAACTAAAGAAAAGGGAGAATAATAAATTCTGATGAGGATGGAAAGAAACTGTATTTTTCATTTGTTGCACTGAAAATGTGAAATGATTCAGTCAGTCTGGAAAGTTGTTTGGAAATTTCCTCTTTTTTACTTTTTGTTTTTGGTACCAGGGTTTGAACTTGGGTCCTTGAACTTGCAAGACAAGCCACAAAACTGCTTAGCTAAATCCCTGGCCCAATTTCCTTTTTTTTTGAAAAAAGGAAATAAGCAGGAAAGCAAACAACATATATGTCTGTCAACAGATCAAAGGATAAAGACGATGTGTTATTTATACACAATGGAGTACTAGTTTGCCATAAAGAAGGATAAGATTGATTCATTTTTAGGAAAAATGGATGCACCTAGAAACCGTAATGTTAAGGGAAGTAAATCAAGCACAAACTTAAATATTGCAAGGTTTCTCTATATGAGAACCCCAAAATATAAATAAAGTACAAATAAAGAATAAGCAATAGAAAACAGCAAGATAGATCTTTGGCTTATGGGAAGGGAACTGACAGAGTGAGGGAAAAGCAGGAAGGATTATAAAAGTGGGAATTGTGAAGTGCCGTGTACAGGCTACAAATCCCAAGAAGGATAATAATCATTATGTCCTAAAAACATAAGATATGGGTCTAAGAGATGCAGGAACAGAGAGAAAGGGTGCAGGGAAAGGAGTTAACGAAAGAATTGAGAAATGAATGTTCACGGACCAACTGGCTGTGATGGTTGTACTGATAATGTACTACAAATACATAAATTAAAATATGAAACAAATAAATATTAAGTGCATTTCTGTACACTGGAAATGCAAAAGTAAAAATGCGATTTCAAGATAATCACTAAAAGTGTGAAGCATGGAAAAGCACCAAAAAAGAATCAATCAAAAATTTAAAAAATGAAATTTTCAATTCAATATAAAGGGAAGAAAAAATTATTAGATGAAATTCATCAGTCATTTGTAATAAACATTTTTTAAGCAAATTAAGAATAGTAGAACATTCCTGAATCTTATAAAGGATAGCAACAAAATTCTACTGGGAACATTATACTTTGCATGGATTTTCTTTTTTCCTTTTATTAATTTTATTGGCACATTTAATGTATACAATATAACGACATTCATTATTGGAAATCTGCACCTTTACATAATCAAACTTGGTTCTGATTTTTTCCTATTCCCTCGCCCTCCCTTCTACCCCTCTCTCCCTTCCTATCTACGAAGACATTGTTTGCATGAGTTTTCAGGACCTTTCCCCATGATAGTGGAAATGAACCAAGGATTCCAATACTGGTATTCAACATTTTGTTAGAATTCCTGTCAAGGTGACAGGGAAAGAAAAGGAAAAACAAGCTGTATGTGTCAGAAACAAAGAAGTAAAATGATCCTTTAAAAAAGGGATGCCTCATGTAAGGTACAAGATCCCAATAATGAATGTAACTGTACTGTATACTTAAAATGTACCAGTAAATTTAAGAAAAGAAAAAGAAATGCCTACGGCACAAGACTACAAGCTGTACAATTTCATTTGTATAAGTAAAAAAGGAAAAAAAAGTAATGTGTGCACTGAAAGTCTGGGCAGTAGTTACAGGGCAGTGAGCAGAGAGGGAAGGGGTGCGGAGGGGTCTCTGATGCATGGGGTGCTTCTCAGAGCGCGCGTGGTATGGTGTGCTGATTCTGAAATTGTCAGACATGTCTACGTCTCACTCTTCTCCAGAAAGGTTTACACATAAATAGAGGAAACAATAAATATTATTGATTTGAACAATGGCAAGACAAATACCATCAAGAAAAAACTACAAATAAGGCAAACTAAAACTTATTTTAATAGCAATATTTTGTCTTCTTTAAACCCTCTCACAATGCACCAGCATGCTAAAGCTCTATAGTCCATCGTGCCACATGTTTGAAAAATAATTTTCCCTTCTATAACAGTGCTACAGCAGTAAAAGAAACAAAATAAGCTTTATATAAAAAATTGAAGGAAATTTATTAACCAATCTCACTAATTAGAAGATACAAAAATAATATTTTGACAAACTCATGCTAGTATTGTACTTAATATTTTTCTGACCAAATGGAATTTATCTCAAGATGATTAATTCAAGGATGGTTCAACTTTAGAGAATTTCTGAGTACAGTATATATTAATAGATAAAAAGTGAAAACCTTCTAGTATCTTCTTAAAACATACAGAAAAAAATACTCAACAAAATGTAGAGAATTATTATACTGCTTAGAATTGTCAAATGTGGCAAAGAATGACAGTCTTCTTTTCAGAATCAAGGCTTTCAGCCTGTAATCCTGCAAAATTATGAAAGTCCACTAGGATGAGTTTAATACTCAGATTTTAATTTCTACCTAATATCTCTACTGATTGAAGTAAAAATTTGTACTTGCTTTATCTAATTTCAAAGCCTAATCTAAAAAAGGAAAAATATTATGTAACCCCACAGCCCATGCCTTCTGCTTCTTCCTAAATGGAATTAATGTATCAATCTTACTCTTTTATCTGAAATTACTTTTTTAATTTATTAGTACGTTTGCAGAACATAATGCTACATTCAGGGGGAGTTGGTACATGTACATAACAACCTTCATTCTTTCTTATCTCTTACTTTTCCCATTTCTACCTGTTTGTTCTAACCCTCAGTCCTTTTCCCATTTGCAAACACTCCATTTCCATTTCTCTTCAGTTTTGTTCCTTTATTTCTTGTTCCTTTTCCCATTTGAAAAATATTTCCTCACTTCTTATTGTCTAGTATTTTATTTTGTTCTTTATTTGTTTTTTGGATTTCTCAATGAGAAAGACCATATGATATTGAAGTTTAAGTAAATGATTTGTTTCACTTAACATTGTGGACTCAAAGTGTATTCATTTACCTACAAATGTCTCAAGTGTATCCTTCTTTTCAGCAGAGTTTTCTCTGCATTGCAAACATCAGACAGTGAAGGAAAACAGTAGTCCTGAGAGTGAGGAAGTCTATGAAAGTGAGCCCTGTAATTGGCCTGACTTTTTCTTTGAGAGAGTTTGAGGACTGCAGAAAAGAAAGGGGAACCAGGCAGAACCTTATCAACTCCCAAAGTTCAGGAGATGAAGCTATGAATCCAGTGAGACTGAAACTAGTGCCTTCCATAAAGGCCATGTGAGAGAGAGAGAGAGAGAGAGAGAGAGAGAGAGAGAGAGAGAGAGAAACAATTGTAATGTCTCAAAATATTTTGATTTAAAGAGTCTCCAAGGTATTTTGGAAAATGGGAAAGGACATTATTTGAAAAAGAGGTGCACGCCTTTCTTATTAATGTTTCATCAGAATTAATTATAACATTAAAATCATGTAATTTCAAGCATAGAGGGAAAATCAGATTCTAGATAATGAAAACTAGAAGAATAAAGAGAAGCACAGAACTGCAGAATTGAGTCAGAATCATGTCTTTGGGCAAGATGCCCAGGTTTCTTTCTGGTGGATGGAGGAAGAGATCACAGGAGACCCAGTGTTTGAGGATACCCCTTATCATAATGGAAAAATAACCTACTCATATCTAGGATTGGAATTTTACCTCAAATATATACCTTTAAGTTTGAGCACCTCCTGTGAAAACTTAATGTACAGACATTACTTAGATTAATAAGATTCTTCACACAATTAATACGATTTAAGTTATTTTAATTTCACATTGGCAAAGAACATTTATGCATCATAGAGAATTATAGAGGAATCAGACAATCTCTTAATGATGGAAGTTAAAAGACAAAACTCAAAATTTTCTCAATAACTTGGTCTTTCTACCATAAGCAATGTATTTTATTTTTTAAGGAACAACTTTTTTTTTTCTCATTGAGGTTATGGTACATTTTAGGTATATAGTACAATTACATACATCATTGGGATTTTTTTTTTATTTTGGGTTTTTAAGACTGGGTCTCACTATGTAGTTGAGACTGAACTGGATCTCACTATGTAGCCCAGGCTGGTCTCAAAATCACAGCAATCCTCCTGCCTCAGCCTCCCCAAGTGCTGGTATAACAGGCATGCACCACCATGCCAGCTTCATTGGGATCTTTTACCATTACACAGCTGGTCTTGGTTCTCATTTTTCTCCTTATCCCTTCACTACCTTCTCCCTTCCCTATTTACAAATACTTTATTTCCACTTTTTCATTTTCTCATTTTTTTTCCTTTTCCCTTATTCTAAAATTAGTACACCCCAAGGGCCATATCTCTGGAAACATATTCTGGTTGCTAGTAAATACTTCTGTAACAAGCAAAATCTTCCAACTAGTCTTTCATAAGAGTTAAACTCTGCAGATGCATAGTATCAGCAATTGTTCATTAGTTTAAAACATAGCAGTGAATATAAGTCACTGGAGTTAGCTGATAGTTAAAAGCCAATTTATGACATTAATTTCTACAATTGAAAATCAATACGTTAATTATGAAATTGTGTTGTTTGTGATTTTCAAAGCACTCACTTTATTATGCACTTACTTTACTTCATTTTAAAATTGTAAAAAAGTTTCATGAATGCTTTCTCAAAATTCAATTTTCTTTTAATTCAGTGCTTGGCTTTTCAAGAACTAACAATCACAAGTTTTTTTATTCCAAATGTATTTGAGGGTTTTTATTAGATATAGATACACACACATATGTTATGCACATTAATTTGAAATCAACTATGTGCAGCATAATGCGCTACAGTAACACAAATATAACATCAGAAGATCGTTGAAGAGAACCCTATTAGAGAGGCAACGTCACTTGAAAGAGCAGGAACGGCAAGCCCGGTGGAAAGTGAAAATTCAGAGAAAAGTCACACGTCGGTCGCGCAGCTTTTTCATAGCGGATTGCATCTCCTCGTTTCTTAATGTATAGATCAGAGGGTTCAAGAGTGGAGTAAAAATCGTATAAAACACAGACAGGAGTTTGTCCACCGAGAACCTGCTGAAAGGCCACACGTAAATAAAAATGCAAGGGCCAAAGAACAGCGTGACTACCATGATGTGTGCAGAGCAAGTGGAGAGCGCTTTGGTTACGCCTCCTGCTGACCGCCGCTGGACGGTGCGAAGGATAACGGCGTAGGATATCACAAGGAGCAGAAAACAGCTGGTGGAAAGCAACCCACTGTCTGAAATCATGAGTATACCCAAGACGTAGGTGTCCATGCAGGCAAGTTTGATCACCAGCGGGAGGTCACAGAAGAAGCTGTCCACCTCGTTGGGGCCACAGTAAGGTAAATTCACAGTAAAGGCTACTTGACTGATAGAGTGCAGAAATCCAATGACCCATGAGACCAACACAAGCTTCACGCAAGTCTGCCGGCTCATCATCGACATATAGTGCAAGGGTTTGCATATGGCCACGTATCTGTCATAGGCCATGGTGACCAGCAACACCATCTCAGCCCCACCAGTAAAGTGCAGGAGAAAGATCTGGACCATACAGCCTTCGAAGGAGATGAGCTTTCGATCACTAAGAAAATCCCTAATCATCTTGGGGGTAGCGAAGGAGGCCAGCCACATGTCCAGGAAAGACAGGTTCCCCAGCAGGAAGTACATGGGGGAGGAAAACAAGTCGGGAGCAGAAATTACTGTGATGACAACGAGGAGGTTACCCAGCATAATGACCACATAGATACTAGAGAAAAATACAAAGAAAAAGTTTTGTAGGTGTCGTGAAGAACAGAGTCCTCGCAATACAAATTCTGACACCGAAGAATAATTCTGCAGATCCATTGTACAGGGTTCTAGATTCAGTTCTGTATCTTTACAAAGAAAGAAAAAGAAAAAAGAACCATCATTTCCATCAAGGAGAATGAATTTGAAAGTCATTAAGTGCTATAAACAGAAACTAGAAGACGAGTATTGCATGATCATACTAATATGTGGGACTACAATTTTTACACCTATAGAAATAAAGTAAAATGGTCAGTACTAGAGTGTTGGAGTTGGAGGATTGGGTTAAAGATGGTCAAAGGGCACAACAATTCTCTGAAGCAAGAAAAATAAATTCAAGAAGTCTCTTCTACATCATAGTGACTATAGCTAGTGACAACACTTTCTATACTTGAAAATGGGTGAGTGTAAGTTTTACAGTTCTCACTATTGAACATCGGTAAGTATTACAGTAATGCATATGATAAGTATCATGATGTAGCAATTCCACACTGTGCACATGTATAAAAAGAACATACTGTGATCCACAAATATATACAGTTCTGTCCTTTACAAAAAATAGATGGAAGAAGGAAGGAAGAAAACAGAAAGCAAAGAGATGTTAAAGGTTGAGTACCTGTCATCTGCCAGGCCCATGAAAATAATCCAGTGGGTGTTATAGCAACACAATTTCTGATATGTAAGAGGTAATCTAAAATACAATAAACAGAAGATCATTAAGAAGTTGATTAAAAATTGTGTATTTGTCCATTTCAGACATCAGTATTTCCTTATTTGGTCATCCTGGAATACTTCAGAATAAGTGCAAGATGTAGAAAAATTTTTTTCTCTCTTTGGTTTTTGTTCCTGCAGAAACATGGAAACAGCAAAACGCAAGGCGTGAGTGAAAAATCCTTAGGAACACTGTGAATATTCGGGTTTTCTGAATGATACTTTGTTTTACTTGCTAGTTTTAACCATCAGTTATTTATCACTGTTCAATGGGCAAGTATTTTTAAGTATCAGACCTAAAATTGAATTTAAGGCTCAATTCTAAAGGAATATCATATTATAAAACACAGAAAATGCATTATATAGTATCTTCTTTCCTTTGATGCATTTTTTTTTTATGTTGACTACCTACCAAATGTCAAGCTAATATGTTTCTCTGGGTGCTGTACCTAAGAATCCAAACACCAGTTACCATGTCTCTCTCCTACAGAAGCAACAAGCTTTTGATGACAAACTTTAATGGAGAAAGATTCCTTTAAACTAAAAGAGAAATGCTCTGAATGTAGAAGCCAAATAAATGTGATCTATAAATACAGGGCATTTGAGCATAGTATGTACATGGTTCACTAATTTTCTGGAAATGTCTGTAGTGTGTTATTTAGGAGTCATAGGATAATATATATCATATGCCAAGGTAGTACCTTTGAAGAAATGTTCAGCTAAATGAGAACACTGTTACATAGAGATGTTTCTTTTGTTTATTTTCTTTTTTAAATGTAATATGTAGTACTGTTCATATCTCAAATGATAATCTGTACCATGAGTTACAGCCTATAATGGCAGAACCTCTTTATTATTCACCTTGATTTTCATAAACAATATCAATAAGATGTAATTAGCAAATGTATAGATTAAAAAACAAGGTTGATTTTGGGAATGTTTAGAACAGTTGAAAATATTGGCTGTAACTAAAATCCAGAAAGGAGTGCGTACTTATATTATACATGTATTGCTAGGTTTCTTTACGATTGCCAATTCTAGTAAATGTTTTAATGGAAATATGTTTTACTTTTATGATTTTTTTTACTTATATGATTTAAAAGTAGGGAAAATCTTTGTTTCCTTGAAAAGAGAAAATCAATTATTGTATATTTGATCATAGTATTTCTCATTTAAGCTAGCAAAAGTAAGATCTGCTTTGAAAATTCGTCTTTTATTATGAATTAAAGTTCATTTCCAAGTATTGCTTCCTAAACAAGAATGGATTGAGGTTTCTCCCATATTAAGACTTAGAATCTTTCCCTTTGCGATTTTATGCTGCTTTATTTAGGTTTAATTTAACTATCATTAAATTCAATTATTTTAAGCACAAAACTTAACCATTCCTAGTACTTTCCGAAGTTGTGTAAACGTCTCCGTCGTGACTGATTTGGAATCTGTGACACCTCCAAACCCACTCACTCACAGCCTGACTATCCAGCAACATAGTTTCCATCTCACTACTTCATTGTAGAAATGAATCCACATATATAAATCAATCAGTGAACCTAGGAGCTATGCAACTGTGCAGCCCACAACTCTTTATTCATATCCTTGTCATTTTCTTTAATTAATTTGGGATTAAAATCCATTCATCTAACTCATTTACAGATTTATTATTAATAAACTTACTACTTCTGAAAGGATTTAAAGATTACTTCCAATGAAAGAGATGTCTCTCAGGATATTTCAGCAAGCACCTGAAAATAAAACATTTGCAGTAACTTTTATGGGTTTTTTTACATATGCATGAGTTACTGATAAGTTTAGCAGGCTATTTAAAATGAAATAACTCTTTGAGTTTCCAGATGAAGTAGAATAAGATGTCTGGATCTTATTCATTTATCATTTCTTTCACTGAGAGTAAAATATTGTACAAAACTTTTATGAAGAAATTCTTCAAGAGCAATTTTACAAAAGATGTGCAACTTTCATACAAACTTTGCATGTTGAGTCTTTAAAAACTGAAGAATATAACATGAAAAATATAGCTTCATAAAACTAAAGGAGCATGAAATAATACACCAGTGTGAAACATTATATAGTGTGAACTTGAAATGGAGATGGAACTTTAAATATTAAAGCATAATTATATGTTTTAGACTTTTTAAAGGTTCAAGATAAATGAAAATTCCTTTTGTTGCTCTTGAGCATTCATAAATATATTACAATAAAAATTAATTGCAAGATTCTTCTCCTCTATATATTAGATTTTAAATCTGAAGCTGAAAGTCTTAGTGGATACAGCAGACATAATTACAAATGGATAATTCAGAAGAAATTTGGCTCTATCTATATTACTCTGATACCCATACAAATGTATCTCTAACATATCTATTACATGCAATAGGGCTACACTTCTACTAGTATTCCTTTCCTTCTTTGTGTCCATGAAGAGTTCAGCATATTATAGATCTTTTTAAATGGATGGTAAATATTAAAAGGAGTGTAATAAAATAGACTAATAGAATTACAATTTCCCAGAACTCATTATTATTTGAAATGGTCCTTTAAAACTTATTCATTTATATCAAATTGTTTATCAGAAAATTGAGGTTGATATTTTCCATAAACTAATAGAAATATAATTGAAATAAAACTAACCCCAGGAACACAAACAAGTCACAATTTAAAAATTTAATTGTAACTGAAAAATATGATTATGTACCCCAATGATATAATTATAAGATACTGGAACAAACTAGTCTCTGCTTGAGTTATGGCTTAAGACAACTACTCACATGTATCTTGAAGATTCTTACTAATCTGAAGTTACAGTGCTCATCGTTCAAACACAAATCACCAAACTTGCATTTCACAGTACTACAGTTGAAAGAAAGTTTTGAAATCATATATGTCTTTTATTTCAGGGATGATTAAATTGTCTTTCTCCTGCCTGTTAAAAAATCATTTGCAGAAAAACATCATTTTAGGAGGCTGAAGACCTTCGAACTTGATCTTTCTTTGGAATTATATTAGATGTATATATGTGTCCACTCCCACAAATTAAGAATCCCTTACCGATAGGCTATTCATGACCAATTGTCACAATGGAGGCTGGGGAATAAACCATCTAAGGGTGGAAATTTGTGGTAATAATTCATATTAATTTCCACAGGCTATAAAGGAAGAAAATTTTAAAGATCTGCCATTTTAAATAAACAAAATTGGAATTATTTCAATGATTCAAGCAGAGTGGTGAATACCATTTTCCAGCTAACACTGTATAAAATGCTTTCCTTCAAATAATCAAATTAACTAGTTGCATTAGAAAAGTAATATTGAGCATTTGTCATCCCTGCATGTTACTTTATCTAACTTTGGTCAAGCACAACACTTTGGAAATTTCTAGTGCGAATGTCACATTTTTAAGTGCAAAATATTTGTCCTCTCTAAAATTATAATTTATAATAAAATTTCTTGAATATTTCTGTTATTTTATAGCATTTATACTTGATAGTCTACTTAGGAAAATCATTCAAAATTAATGAAAACTTCCACTAATGGCTCCTTACTGTTCAAAATTATTCCGCAACATTCTTAGGAATGGTTGTCACATTTACAATTATTCATATAACAATTGCCTCTATAGTAAAAGTATAAACTTCTAATGTAAACACATTCAAATTTATAAAGGATATCATCAAAGGCATCATCTAAGTGCAATCAAAAGCACTAAATTGTGCATTACTATTAAATATTTATGATTCATTGAAAATAAGTCCTAAAATCTAAGTTGTTTATTAAGACAGGTAAAAAAATTGCTAAAAATAGATATGGAAGCAGATTATCAGCTTAAGTGTACTTTGCTGTTTCTGAAATGTGCTTATTATATGGGCACAAACACATCATAAAAAATAAAAATTATAGAGAAAATTTTTAACAACCAGCTGATTTCATCAAAGCCTGAGTGTTAACTCTATGTGTTGAATTAAAAGTTCTTTCAAATGATATTCATATTTAAATTGGTGATCCTTGTGTAATGTGCAATTTTCTCCATAATGCAAATCACTCTCATTCAATCAGGTGAAGACCTGGATAGAAGAAAAAGACTAGTCTTCTCAAGGAGAATTCTCCAGCAGATTACCTTTGGATTTCATCTATGCCATCAGTTCTGTGTCTCCAAAGACCAGATATGCATGGTTTGCACTTCTATACTTATCAGCCTGTTTCTTCTCTCTCTCTCTCTCTCTCTCTCTCTCTCTCTCTCTCTCTCTCTCTCTTTCTCTTTCTTTCTCTCTCTTTCACATTCTGCCTCTTTCTTTGTTTATCTCTATCTCTGCCTGTGTCTTTGTCTGTCTCTGTCTCTT